TCACTGGTTAACACCCCCTCTCCGTAGGATTTCTCCGGTAGGTGCTCTTCTCGCAGGGCTTCCTCTTAGCACCGACCAAGAAACAGGGGGGTAAGCAGTTTGGGGCCCCAGGCCTTCGTGTTCCCAGCATTCTTCGGTAAGGGCAGGTTACAAGAAAGCCCTCATCCCGCATTTTCCACATTAGGGTGTCTTGGGATCTATACTCCACTTGAACACAAATCTCCCAGAACGTTTTTTCTGCTGACAGCGAGAGAAAAAACATAACAGTGAACAAAACTCCTTTCAGAGCCCCGGCCCCAGCCTCCCCCCACAAGCCCAGGGAAGGCCAGGGAACCTCATTCAGGACTGGGGTTCTTCCTTCCTAGCCCCCAGGAGCTTGCTTCGTCCCTACCCTCAAACACTGTCTTACAAACACAGCCACTACTGCTGGGCTACTAGCCCTGTCAGAGACATAGCAAGAGATGCACCAGCCAGTAAATTTGACTCCTACCGGGTCAAATCCAAGTTACCCTCCTGACAATACTGCCTAAGAAGCTCATAAACCACTATTTCTACCTGTTATACTACTTGGACAAACAACATCAACTGTTATCTACAAGAACATTTGCTTATTGACTAAGGAAAAAAACATAAGAAGTAATGTACCATAAGTCTATCATTTCTGATGGACCTTTCGGTTTCCCCCTATTTTCAGAATTTCAGAAATGCTCCTAACGTTGACATCAACTGTTATCTACAAGAACATTCGCTTATTGACTAAGAAAAACAACATAAAAAGTAACGTACCATAAGTCTATAATTTCTGATGGACCTTTCGGTTTCCCCCTGTTTTCAGAATTTCAGAAATGCTCCTAACGTGTGGACTTAAAACATTCAGACACTGAAATCCTTGCCCTGTGAAGCAAAGCTGCCCCTTTGATTTGATTTGCAGAACGGTCTCATGAGTCAACATAATTCTGATTCCCCTGCTGACAGAAGCTAGCACCACGGACATCTAACTGAAATACAGTAACGAACACAACAGACAATGCTTATCAGAGAATCAAATAAAACTCTGAATGCATCAAAAATAAGCATACCACCAACATTTTCTGGTAATCCTTAACTAGGAGATGAAGAGAGAAGAACAAACTCAAGCTCAAATGGTAGGTTACCTAAGGCAATGACTGTCCTTTTTGCTTTATGGGTCTGCGACGCCTGCCTCAGCAGAGCCCCAACCCCTGATGGGGGCCATTAAGCAAAACTTCAGTACAAAGAGAAATTAAACAAGTAACGCCCAGCTAGATACTCATGCGCGCAAGGTGTTGTCAAACAAGTTTTATGTAGTGCTGCTTAAACGCCAGTTGACTTCAGCAAGAATCAAGGGCACACAGCATTTTGTGAGGAGGGTGCACAGTCATTTAGAACATTTCTCTCTATCTGCAGTAATCAAAACAAGTTATAGCCAGGCTACAGCTATATGTCTAGTTTGAAGACTGCTTGTCTGTGCAAGAGAGAACCATCTGGATTTACTTTATGGTTAACTTTAAAATATATATATAAGGTTTCTTAACTTTTGCCAAACAACTGGAAACATAATGGTTTCTGCATGCTGTTAGCATCTCGGTACAGCTGCAAATATCCATTAGGACAATCTTATATAATTATACACTTATTCTTCCCATGCAATTGTTAAAACCCCAGCTTTTCCAAATAATAGCATATTTTGTGGCAAAGAGGAAATCTTCCAGTCCACCAGGTTGGAATGGGGTAGGGAAGTCTTCTAAAGCAGAACTTTACTCAAAGCTTTTATTTTAAACTAACATAAAAATTTCAAGCCTTAGAAAACAGTGTCAGATTTTTCCAACTGTACCTCTAGTGTGGTCTGGCCAGAAATCTATCATTTCTCTCCCTTCTCCTTTTCTTTACGCAGTGTTTGTGGAAGAAATTCAGTCCTAAGATTTTTTTTTTTTTTTTTTTTTTTTTTTTTTTTTTTTTTTTTTTTTTTTTTTTTTTTTTTTTTTTTTTTTTTTTTTTTTTTTTTTTTTTTTTTTTTTTTTTTTTTTTTTTTTTTTTTTTTTTTTTTTTTTTTTTTTTTTTTTTAAAAACCTTTTTGTTTTTTCCTCCCTTCCCACCCCCTCCCCTCCCGAATAGGACTTGAGCTCTCATCCTCCCCACAGCTCCATACTCTGATGCCACAGAAACTCCCACCTACAAAGCTGGTCGGTGGCACTTTTTTCGCCACGGTCTTGCTCATTCTGCTTGGGTGTCATCCCTTTTCCCACCTAAGCCTTTGTCTCTTCTATCTGGAACATCAGCTCTCAAGGGTAGGAACTGCCTTTTATCATGCATCCGAACAGTGCCTGGCGCTGATCTTGGTTGGCCCTTCGACACTTTCAGAATACACATGAAAAATAAAGGAATTTTGCCCCCAGGGTCACGTTCTGGGGCTGGTGCAGTTGCTTTGCTGAGACAGGCACGTGGGGCCAGTGGGTGACCGCACACAAGAGCCAGCCATGGACAGCAGGGACCTGCAGGCTGAAGAAGAGCAGGCTGAATGCACGCAAGGCTCCAGGAAGGGGGAGTGATCTGCACGTTCAAAGCACCATCATCAGCTTAGCCAAGATTTTCAGAAATGACCAATAACATGGCAAACATCTGCTTTTAGGAGCCCAAGGCAACTATTCAGCTTTCCAGAGGGCAGATGCTTACCTCTTCCAAAATAAGAGCCTTCCTGCTGCGTTTCCTATGTGTCCAGGCTCCAAAGCACTCTAAGTCATTGGCCACTCTCAAAACTTCTCAGCAGCTAGTACTTTTTTACTTAACAAAAGCAAAACTAATGGAAACACACACAACTGGTCCCAAAAATAGAACATTTTTCCAGGAGGTGAACGATCCCTCCCTACATGTACTTGGGACGCTACGGAGAGAGAGGCACAAGGGCTCGTACTGTTTTGACAGCCAGGCAGACAAACAAATACTTCTGTTTCAGCTAATATTCCTGGAACTCAAAATGCCAGCCTGAAAAAACAATACCACAAAACACTGGCATGCCATCGATCTGACATCAGAAAGACAACCTTGGGGAGTGACAGCCCAAGAGAAGCAACAGACCCCCGCCTATCCCCACGCCGTGCCACCCGGGGCGCACAGACCTTCCATCGCACACCTTACATAGCCTCCTCTCGCCAGCACTGCTGGTCTGCTGTATCGTCTTACCCATATTCCCCCATACTAGGTCGCCTGCAGGGATAAAAATAAAACTGCTGCTAGTTTCTGTTATATGGGGTCTGTACCTCCTCCTCCACAAACTTTCTCTGTTATCAGTATAGAATTAATTTGCACAACAACCTTCCAAGGTAACTTAGAAGGCACAGCAGGTTGCTAACATCTAAGCTCTTTCTCATTTTAAGAGCGACTATCTGAAAAATTGGCAGGGAGGAGCTTCACTGCTCTGTAACACAGAAACTTGGCTAGAGGGATGCTGTTAGCATGAAACAGCAGCAGATCCAATGCCCAGAACTTGAACTGAAACTGTTTGTTATTACTTCACATCTGTACTGCAGTATTAGCCACGGGCCATGACCAAGCCTGGTCCTGGTCCTTCTGGGATGAACTTTTATCTTTTAAACAGACAGGGGATGACAAAGGTGGTTGGAAGGATTTGAAGAAACATTAAAAATAACTGACAGAGTCAGGAACTTGTGTCCCACTGAAAATTAATGGCACCTACCAGGGGACTTGGAGACTTTGGAAAAAACTCTTGGGCAATCTGAAACTTTGGTCAGGCACTGACATTTGCACAGTCACAGAAGACTGTTTCTGTTCTTGCAAGAGATGAAAAAAGTTCCACGGTGGGTACACATAACAACTGGCTGCTTTTTGCATGCGCTGGGGTGAGAGTAGGGAGCGCTGTGAGCCAGCAAGATAGGCAAGCAGTGCATACAGCTCTGCTCGGAGGGATCATTTCCAAGACGGTCATCTCAACAGAAGGGGCCGGGACACCCCAAAAAGCAGGTGCAGAGACCAACGGGCTACTTCCCGGTATCACGCGCTTGTCCTGACTGGTCTCTTTGCCTCCTCCTCCCACTCCCAGGCAGAAGGCAATGGATCTGAAGAATTTCCCCTGAGAAATATCAATACTCACGTGACAGCTAGAGCTTCTTATGCCATTGCAAGCCTGGCTACAGCAACACTGAAATCTCATTACTCCTAATGAAGTTGTCTGAGTTGGCAACACTGAGGAACGGCTTGCTGCAGAACAAACGCTTGGAGAGAGGATATTGTCTACCAGCTCCTCGCGTGTGATCACTGATCCCTCTAGCAGACAGCCCTGTGGGCCATGAAGGTCACCGCTCTCGCAGCGGACAATGTGCTGGAGTGGAAGAGGTGTGGCTCTGACACCGGGGAACCCAGGTTTGATCTCTGATGAATCTGGCCGTGGCTTACTACAGAGAGTTTTAGACTTTCTGCAATAGGAAAGCATGGAGCTTTTCAGGAAAAGTTTTTAGGAAAGTAGGGAGTTTTTCAAAGGTTGGAGAGTGTACCTCCGCCTCTTTTTGGCAAGCTGTGCCCATGTCACCAGAGCTGAGCAGGGCTGAGCACCACATCACTTTCTCAGCAGAGAAAGGCATTTCAGAAGTCAGATGGATGCTGAGAGTGGCAGCGCTGGAGAAAACCAAGACAGTAGGTAAGGGAAGGTGGCTTTCTGGTGGAGCACATGCAAGAGATGAGGATCTTGTCAGGATGCCACCTCTCCCGTTGCCCATTGTGCCAGTGCCAAATCACTTGTGCACAGCATGACAGAAGACAGCAGTGCAACGCTCCTAACCCACATAGCATCGGGCTTGACAAGGGGATAAGATGATAAAAGATGAATTTTGGTTTATTATTGTCAACACGCAGGCATCACATTATCTTAGTTATACTGAGGCTAGGTAGCTAAACTGCCAGGTTTAATGTTTCAGGTCACATCAGGGAATAGTCTTACCAGCAGATGTAAAGATCATCCTTTGGAGTGGGTAGCACTCAAGGTCAGAGTCAGCAAATCCTCCTCTAAAAATAGACTCTAGTTGCAAAGTTAGTAAGATTTCTTTTGTCGTTCTGCTGCACTTCACAGGACCCAGCTACCTAGAGCACCCACCTAAGCTTACAGGTAAGGCTAAGCAATATACATTTTCTGCTCTACTTCTTGTGCTCCTTTTCTTCCTTTTATAACCTAGCTTAGTAAACCAGGGAGAGGACTGAGGGCTGGCAAACTTTCCAAGGTAACTGATAACTTCATAAACTTGTTGCAGAGGGGAAAAAAAAAAAGCTTAACACTATTGAAGAGTCAAAGAGGTTTTGAAAGTATAATTTTTTAAAGAACAAATCGGTCATGTTACAGAAATAACTTTATAAAATAGGAAATGAGGTGTCAAAACTGTATTTATCTTAGAGATAATTTTAAAAGTTAGGAATAAAAATGCAAATTTTCAAGCTTTTGTAACATCTGTCCCAGAATATTTTGCTTATTCTTTGATAATTGCTCCACCCTCAAGTCAAATCTAACTTTTCCAATTGAATTACAATTCTTTCAGATGACGCTGTGTTTTAAGTTTCTTTGGGCACTCTCATAATATTTAATGAAATCTCAGCTTAATCTGTTTTAAATTAACCAGTTCAGTCAACAATAAAGAATGAGGGCAAAAATAAGTTTTTAAAAAGTCACCAGTGGCTTAGAAATTCATTGAAATAGCTGGTTAGGTTTGAATATTCACAGCAGGAGGGTCTGGGAAATAATTGCACAGAGGCTATGATTCTTCTGGTTTTAAACTGTTTAAAGACAAATGCATTGGATGAACTATTTTACAGTCCCTGAACGCTTCAAGCATAAGAATGCAGGGGTAAAATAAAGGAACTGAAGTAAATGACAGTTTTTGGTGAAGACTAGGACAGGATTAAGGAACACAGGTCTGTGTTATTCTTCACTTAAGTATACTGCAGGTACCCCGGGGATTTCCAGTTTTGGATGTACAACACTTGGCTTCATTCTTTTAGGGCTATTTTAGAGAAAGATTGTTTTGAAGGACTTATTCCTCCTCCCTCCCAAGAATTATTTGTACAAAATTAGTTTTTTTGGTCTAGTGTTAAGGAAAAAAAAACCAAACCACCCAAGGAACCTTTGCAGCACCGCACTTCATGGCAGTACCCTGGGGCGCAGCAAGCGCCAGGTTACACAGGAAAGCGTATAGCTCTCCACGGCTATTGCCAGCGTTTGGAGCCTGAGCAAAATGTCATGGGGCTGGCTTATCAGGAAGCACCATTTTAAATTCATTTACTTAAATCATCCGACAAAGCAAGCTTTTGTTACTGCAGCTGACCAACTCTCAGCTCAACTGATGTACTTCGAGTCATGAAAAGCTTAGAAACCAAAGCACTGTTTACCCTCCTCCCAAGTGCAAACACTGCGCTCCAGACAGCATGTGCCTTGGCTTCTGCAAGGAGAACTTTCCAGTTTATAAAGCAGCCCTCTGCTTAGCCATACTCGAAAAGGGTAAGTACTTTTTCACCCTGAAGGGAGGTATGTACCTGGCATGCTGGCTGGAAATGGAAGAACAAAACATTTCTTAAGAATTCAGGATCTTGCTCAATAGATCCTCCCTTGCTATTTCTGAAGACCCTCCGTCATTAGATCTGATTTTTGTTTGCCTTCAGCACCGAGAGAGTGCTTACCTGGAGACAGGTTACTAAACTGGATTCAAGCCTTTTGCACACTTTTTCGGAAGTGTGGGAGAACTGGTATTCTCCATCCTTACCTTCTCTCAGGTACTCCCCTCTCATGTACACACTTGTTACAGACGCTGTTTCTCCACGAAGGTCTTACCTAAGGTAGTTATTAAACTGAAAGAAATAAGTAAATAAAAATAAGAGGTATTTTTGCAATTGTCTGGAAGCCAAGAAGGTCTCAGGTTTGGACCCCCTGGAAGACAGATGTCCTCTGATTTCAGTGGTGTTGAATTCCACCTAATAAATGAAAACATTCAAGTAAGTCAGCTCTCCATACATCATCAGAAAAGAAAATGGGAATCATTTCTCAGTAACAAGAACTTCATGCACAAAAATGATTTCTTAATCATAATTACAGGGTTTCTTTTCCACTTTATTATTGTTCTTTCAAATTTAGTGTTCATGGCAGTAGATAAATTCAGTCCCCGGACTTGAGGGTCAAACCACTGACTAATTTCAAGGGCACCGTGTTTATCCCCTACTGCATTGGTGTGGGCATAAGGTCTACTGGAAATGTCATTACTTCTGTAAACTTTTCATGAAAGGCCCACAGCTGACAGATAGTCTGCTTTGGTTATTTTCTTTCCCTCCCTTGGCATCTTGAAAAAAAACCTTAAGATACCACGGCTCCACTCCTTTCTCAGAGCTGTCATGAGGAAAGAGGTAGGAAGCAAAATCTGAAAGCACCAAAACAGGAATAAGATCAAAATCTGCCTCCACATTTACAAATAGGTTATATATTTAGCTGTTTTCTGGATGCTGAAAACCTTTCATTCCCAGCTAAACCAGAAAAGTTTGCAATTGGTTGGTATTTTCAGGGAGAAGTAGCTTTTAGACAACTCTGAGTACCAAACCAAGGCCGGTACACTTGCGTACGCCAAATTAAATTTAATAAATCCAGCATCAAAAGCCTCACTAGCCCAGGTGACTGATGTCATACGGGCTGGGAGAACTCCCAAGAGCAGGAAACATGGGTGGTAAAGAATCTAAACTATTCTGCTATATAAATATGGACTGAAGCGGGCATTAAGGCAAGGAAGCCCTGTGCCCTATGTCAGGCAGGACAGAACAGCTAACAGGATTACAGTTGTTCCTTCAGAAGGGAAGAGCGAGGAAAATTGTCTTCTGTCTCCATTTTCCTTCCCACCTCTTATTTGCTTAGCCTCTCCCGTTGCATGTTTGTAGAGCACACCAACAGACCACTGGGCTCTGACCTTATTGGGGATCCATAGCTTCAGGCCCACAAACACAGCTACAAGTCGGCAGCCAGAGTACACACGCTTGGGGCAACCGCAGTGATGGAGAAACCCCCCTGGGTCAGGGAGGGGTGCAGAAAAGAATGGGAGAGGCTACGTAGGTCCTTGCAAAGGACAAAGGCAAATGCAAGTCTTTTCTGTTCGTGTCTGCTTTTTTCTTTTTCTTTTTCTTTTTTTTTTTTTTGAAATCTCTACAGCTGACTTGGATCTCAACTCCCAGGCATAAATCTTGCCAAATTGTTTGGCATCTTTATACACAGCACTAAGGCTTGCACGGCACGTTGAGCCAAAAATATTAAGAAACATAGTATTTTGTTATGTAGATAATGACCTATAGCTTTCAGTCTCAAAGTACTCAGAAACTTGCACCACATCTGGAACACCAGCATTAGAAATGTACACACCACCACCGAAGCTCTGACGTTCACCTCTAGATATGAACCTCATTTTTTTTCCCCCCATCTGTGGGATTACCAAACTGTAGAGCTCACGACTGAAGCTTCCAAAAGCATTAACTAACCCCCTACAAATTTTGGGGTGGGGGAGGTACATTCCTCCAGCTGAACAAATTTGAAAATGGGCCACTATGTTCTGTGACTTCTCGGGGCTTCCCTGGAAATTTGGGGTTAGTTTGAGGAGTTCAAGGGACTCAGAACAAGGTGCAGAAAGGAAATCTTTCACTGCCGTATCACTGCTCCAGCCACTAGACTGTTCACTCTCTGAATTAAACAGCAGATAGACTGGCAGATTTTCCTTTTTTCCCCTTGCACTTTCTTTCCTCCCTCCCTGTTTTGTTAAAAATAAAATAAAAAAGCTAAAGAGCTCTGTAAGAAATTCCATTTGGCAGCTGTAGAGTGGAGAGTGAGCATAAAGAAGAGATTCCTTTGCTGTGCCTAATGCATGCTGCTTATCCAAATTAGCCACACAATTACTTCTATCAATGCAAAAATAGTTTAATGTTTTTTTTCTAGTGCGCAGCACTCAAGAACGACTTAAAATGCAGTGTAATTTGCCACAGTGTATGTCCTGAAGTGGCTCGCTAATGAAAAGAGGATTAACTCTCCATTATTCTGAATTACCATTTTGTGAAATCACTAACAATATTTTCATTTATATACATATAACCCAAGGGGGAGAAATATTCCAGCCATCCAAGTGATTAACAAATAAAATTCATTAGATAACATGCACTTTGGTCTTATTTATGAAGAGAAAGATTAGGGTATAAAAATGCAGATGACTGAATTCTTATCATCCTTGTTCTGATAATACACTTAAGTCCATGACAGCATAATTGGCGAGCACCGGCAGTCCAGAGTTATAGTCACACGCTGGATTGAGAAGCGGAACCCGCAGGATGTCAGGCTTGGCAGACAAAATCTCACAGGCTTGAGCATCAGACCCTGGTCCCACCGAGGTGGACCCGGCCCTCGGCTGCTGACCAGCCACCGCAGGGTGGGTGCAGAGGGGGAACTGGAAGGTCTGAGCAGCTCACACGGCCTGGCCTCAGCATAGCGCAGCAGAGTGAGAGAGGAGCCGTGGCTTGAGCGTGGGGGAAGAGTGGGATGAGCCACAGATTGCCCTGCCTCGCTGGAAGGGAACTCCTGGCCCCAGAGGCAGGGCTCCACTCCTCACTACGCCCTGAAGTTGGGCTCAAACCTTCCTGCCGAGAAGAACCTCTCTGGGACAACAGCAGTTCCCGCTAGCTGACACTCCCCTTCATCCCTCCCCCATGAAATGAGAAAGGCTGTCCTGTGCTGGAGCAGCACTTCCAGGAGCAAGCAGAGTGCAGAGTCCCTTACGCGAAGGGCACAAGGACCATCCCTACTCCAGAGAGCTTCCACATCCAAGGCTGTGTGTCCCCAGCACAGTGCGGTGCCATGAAGTGACTGCCAAGCTGGTACAGGAAGGCTGCACTGGTACATCATTCAGCCTGCACTAACTAGTCTATAAGGCAAAGCATTTTAGCCCAAATGAAGCACTGCAAGGGGTCAGAGACTGCTCCAATGAGCCTGCGCGGGGGTGAGCCTGCGCGGGGGTGAGCCTGCGCTCTGTCTGCCATCCGACTGCACCGGGTGAACACCCTGCAACGGACTGTCTCCCCTCCCCAAAGGTCTGCCAAAGAAATCTGAGCTTTCCCTGCCTGGGCCTGTGCTAGACAGTCACCCTTATACAGACAGTCATCCTTATATCCACCACAGCATTAAGAACAAAGACACACACAAAAAAATCCAATCCACTTTTCACTTTTTAATCTAAGAGGGCAGGCCTAGGGAACAGCCTTCCCTCAGCCCCGTTTGGTGTATACAGAACAGTCAATAAGAGATGAGGTTAGACATCTTTAGTTCCTGGCAAGACAAGCCTTTCCGTCCTCCTCCCCCCAACCAAATGCTTCATGGCAATTAATTCCAGAGCTCAAGTAGCAAACCAGCCCCTTTTTCCCCCTTCCCCTCCTCCTAGGGGGGGAAACTCTGTTACTTCTTACTTAGTCTAGAGTCAAATCTGAAATACATCTTTTATTAGAGGAATTTCAACTGATGCTTTCCTGTGCTCTAATTCAATTTAAAAATCCCCACAGCAGATAACCTTGGCAAGGCATAAAAGAACATAGCTTACTTGAAAGTTCAGGGAGCATATGGCTTCCCAGGACAGACAGAAACAAGTATTTCTCAGCAGAGGTCTAAGTTTCAGAGTGCTAACCAAGCTTCAAACTGAGACGGTGTTACAGTACCACAAACGATCATTTGCAGATGTAATTGCCCTGTTCTGAGGTCTGCAGTCTACGAGCAGGACTATTGGTGTAACGAATCAATGCGCTGTGGCCACCAAGCGTGATTACTGATTACATTGCTTTCTCTTCTTCCCCTCCCATTCCATGGAGCTGCGAATAAAAGCACAATCAGTCCTTCAGCATCAAGGCAACAGGCTCTCAGTTAAGCTAATTCCTTACCAGACAAACAGCAGTTCTTATCAAGTTCTAGATAACAGCCTATTCACTCCCGAAGTCAGACTGTATTAGATTTGTATCTCTGACAGTCTAACATTATCTACACTGTTGATTCTGCATGTAGAATTAGCGTAATTCTGGCACGGGAAGGAAAAAGGTTCTCCAGGGGAATGGCTACCGGGGGCACAGAGATGGGACTTGGTGCTACTCAGAGGCGTGCAAGACCGAGCCCAAGGTAAATTTGCTAGAAGTTGGAATTCTCAGAGCCCTTTACAAATCTCAACAGAGGACCACTTAGCTAATCATCATCATCATGTTTTAGGAAGCTTGGCTGAAAGATAGATCCCCTTGCCAGTGAAAGCAAGCCAATTTTTGAACAAAGGTCTACACATGCCAAACAAAAACCGACTCCACAATCTTGCCTAGCTTTTGAGTGGGAAAACAGGAATCATTTGGCTTTTTCAAGTTTTGCGGAGAAACAGTACATGACAGACACAAAAGAGCCCAAACTGAGGAAATAAACCCCATGGGTACACGGGATGTCAGTGAAAAATAGTCATCCCGCTTGCAGGAGAGCTCTACCACAGCTGCACAAAGGCACTAGCCAGATTTTTGTAATTAAAAGGACACAAACGTCACCAGTGGCCAACACAAAAAATTTGTGGGAGCCACGACAGGATTTGTTGCCTGCAAGAAAGGTGGATTTTTGGCAGGCTGTACTCGCACGCTTCATAAGATCAAGCCTAACTCCACCTCTTCTTGTTACGAGTCTCCTACAGAACTGCAAGGTTCAACTTCTTCCTTCAAGGGGATGAGAGACAGGAGCAACCGCTGCCCTGAGACATCAGGCAGTCCAGCAGGAGAAACAAGACAGACCCAACAGGGAGATGAAGCAGACAAGAACATCTGCAGCAGAAGGCTGGCAACATGGAAAAAAGGGAAACTTGTTTTCCGAGGAGAAAAGGGGAAGAGGGTTGACAACTGAGAACAGGGTAAATAGGAGATCAGGCATGTGGCCAGCCCCAAATTCTAGTTACTAGAGGTTTGCTGTAGCATAAAGATCAGCTGCACGAGCACTTACCTGCTGACAACTTGCAGAACAAAACGTACTTTGCCTTCAGAAATGTGCAAATCCACAGAAGAAAAGCAAAGGAGACATTACAACACCCATGTCCCTCACAATAATCCTTCTCCAACATTGTGCAGGGATCTATGACATGAGTATTTGCCTGGTAACATGCAGAGTTTCCAGTGCTATTAATTTGGACTGAAAAGCTCTCATATACACCTTTATCACTTGTCAACCACTCCCTTGTTTCTTCTTCTTCACTGAGAATATGTGGATGTAGTGTACCTTATCTGTCTCCCCCGAAAAATTTTCTTCAAGTAATCAAAAAATTAAAATAATAAAAACAAAATCTGAGAAACCCTTGACAAACACACCCAACACTGTATGTGTGGGGATACCGGCTGACTCCTCTGGCAGGACAGTGCAGTGCCACACCTGAGCTAAGGAGCACAGCATTGCACTCTTGCAACTGTACTGCACCTGCAGCCGCTGGTGTGGTTGCTGCTGGTGCAAGGGTTTCTGTATCACACGTATTTCGCTGGGCTTTTAGCTGAGATACTTCAGCTGGAGGGGATTAGGAAAGTTAAACATGGATGCAAAAAACCCACCTGTCCAAGAGACAGGAATATTCTTGCAAACATACGGTTACCCGCCGTGTCCCAAGGCAGTGTCTTCATAAAGGAATGGATGAGGGAGGAGGCTCAAGTTAGTCTCTGGCCTTTAACTTCACCCACCAGCTCTGTGAAAACTTTAGGCTGCCCTCTGAGCTCCCGCTGCTCGTGGGATCAGTGCCCGGCTCCTAAGTAAGGCGCAGCCTTGGGGAAGTGGGGGAGGAGGGAGACCACTTAACTGGGCTGTAACTGTTGACTCCAGAGCTGAGGGAGGCAAACTCTACAGGGGAAAGTCTAAATCGGGACAGCAGCTGAGGAAATCGCAGCAAGCAAGAGAGAATCTGGAGCTTCAAGAGATGTGTAAAGCCGACACCAAGGGATTCAATACTAGCAGATAGCTCAAACACATGGGACATTAAGGTTGTCAGTTCTGAGCGAGACAGCTCTGACAACATGGCCAGGCAAAGAGTGTTGTTTTTGGCAACATTAATGATACTCTGATTTTAGCTACAGGATAACATTGCTCCATTGCTCCCTTTTATACTACGTGTTCATCAGTACTTCTTCCAAACCATTTGGCATGTGTGCATCTAGGTTAAAAAAAAGAGAGTGAGCCTGAAAAGAAGGAAGTCCTTGAGCCCATCCTGGCTAAAAAATATTTTGTCAGTCAGTGGTGCCGCAAAAAGGCAAACTCCCATTCCAGGAAACAGCCTATGAGGTTCAGTGTGCAGAGCTGCATTAAGATCTTGAAAGAGCGGAACAGGTACACACAGCATTCACCTGAGTGGACTCATTTAATCTCCCCGAGTTGCTGAAAATCACATAAAGGAGAAGCCTTTAGGAGACTCGCAATTAACAATAAAGAAACATCTTAAATTTCCCCCATCCAGTTCCCCTCGGTGCTCTAGATCCCTTGGATCAGGCTGCTAGACCTACCAAATTCTTACCAGTGGATTTTCTAGGAAACAAATTCCCAGTGGAGACCGAACTTTGGTGATCACAAACCTTTGGCTTTTGTTCCTGTTGCTGGTTAGCTCATCCAACAAAGTATTCCTCGCCTAGTTCAGGGGAGGCAGAAATCCAGGTGCGAATCTGCATCTGGCACAGAGCAGGTACATCCATCTCGCACCATGCCCAATCACACCAGGGCAGTGCTGCTCCCAGTGTCCCACAACTGGAGCAGAACTCGCTTGCTTTGTGCTTAACGTTCTTGTTTTGGTTGCATTCCAGTTTCTTGCACATCCTGAGCAGGCTGCTCCATGGACAAGATGTCATCAGCAGGTTTGAACGCTGGGAAGAAAAATGCATACAGAGCAATCAAAGTAGATCCTGATGAGGATTACTGTACCCCAGGCGCATTTGAATTGGAGCGACTCTTCTGGAAAGGATGCCCGAAGTACACTCATGTCAATGAAGTCTGGCCCAACCTCTACATAGGAGATGAGTAAGTGTACATAGTACATCTCTTCTACATAGGAGATGACCGAGCTGTACCAGGTACAGCTCACCAACAGAGCGGGGTGTTTCTTTCCTCCTCCTACCCATTCCCTAGTATTTAGTGGTGACGATGTGATTTGTTGAGCTACTGATAGACGCCAGAGTTCAATACAGCAATCGGAGCCTGCCATGGCCCTTACAGATATAGGCACACAGTGTCTGTTGTTGCCGCTTCTTCAAGAAAGCGCTGGGTAAGTGCAGTGGGGTCTACTGTTAAAGACTGAGTAACAGGAGCAGTTGTGGCACCAGCGTAGGCTGCAGAGATTGAAGCTAGTCACAATCTATTTTTAAATGTCTCATTTCAAGGAGTAATTTGTCATTTATCTCTGAGTGAAAGTCCTGCCACAGTTACACTGGCAGAAGAGCATGGCCTAGATGTGTAGGACCACGGCTTAGGTTGGTTTAAGCCTAAATTGTAATTCTTGAAAAGTGACTGAAGAGACAGCTCAACCCACAGTGGTATTTCTGCGTTTCCAAGCCTGTGCTTGTGTACACGGAGTACTCTGCATTTCCAAATTGCTCAAGAGATGAAAACAAACAGAACCCTGTGGAAGGCAAAGCTGCAGAGATGTGCCTCACTGATCAGACCAAGTGTGATTTGGGAAAAAACCAAACCCACAAAACAGACTTAGCTCTAACAAACTTAGCCCTGCTGAGCACAGGACTAAGCTAGAAACAGCCTATTCTGACAAGCAGAGATGACTGCTGCAGCAGCGAGACATGCCATCAGAAAATCTCCAACCCAAACCCTGAGCAGAGCAAGAGAGCTTTTCTTACCCCTTAGGCATTATTGGTCCCCTTCCCATTTTCCTCTACACCCTGCGCTAACATGACATTGCTTTTACATCATCACTGTAAGGCACAAGCAGGAGCCCCACTGGCTCCAAAGTTCTCAATAACTTTTTTAAGAGGTCCTAAAATTCATCTGTTGCCAGCTTATAAAAGAGGAAAGATATACAGCCTTGAAAGTTACAAGACTCCTAATATCATCGACCAATTACTTCTGTGGCGCCAGAGGCAACAGCAAGACACACAAGAGTTCTGGGCTTTAACCAAGCCAGGGCTCCCACTTTTAGAGACAGAAAAAAAAAAAAAAATTAAGCCATGGGAAGAGCCTGGCCAAACGACTCGGGAACAAAGGAAAAGGAGGTTGAGTTGTCCTCTCTCCATCCTACCCTGCCCCTCTTGTTAGATATGTCTAACTCAAGATTCAGTGTAAAGAACAGCCTCTTCTAGCATTTATTCCCTGCTTCCTTGTTCAAAGTCACCAGCAGAATTATTCTGAATGAAGCCGTTAGAATAATTTCCCTCTTATCTCTGTGATGAAGCTACAGCTCTGCCCTCTGAGCAAAGGGATCTAATGAGACAACAGGTCTTTGGACAGTCAGTCTCTAAGCCCAGGACACCAGCCACTGACTCTTTCATGTAATCGTTCCTTGTTACACCTTGTATAGTAGCAGTGGCTTGTTACACCTTGTATATAATAAATGCTAGGAGGCACGACTCGAATACAATACACACCTGCACTCTGTACAAACTAACCAGAGAAACAGAAAAACAAGCTCCTTGAGAGGTACTTAAAACTACACCCACTTATGCTGGGCAGTTTTCTATTTCTGTAGGAGACGGGTCTTAAGTCAGGAGGAAAAGCAATGGTGCTTCAAGGGGAAACAAGTCCCCCACGTGACCGGGACAAAAGAACGAGAAAGCCAACGGAGAAGGAAGAAGTGGGGAGCAGGTGGGGGGTGAACAGAAGCAAAACTTCACCAGAAAGTGAGGCTCCCTGCAAGAGAATGACTATTGTCAGCCAGCTAAGGGCAAACTTGACACCCAGTAGCAGAAAAATCTGAGATGAGAACTGGCAAGATGCAGCTTTCATTACCAGAACTAAAATTTGATTTGAAGCAGGCAAAGTCCAGAGACCTCTGTATCTTTCCTCAGCCAGCTCCACATCTTACTTCTGACCAACAGCTTCCCCCTTCAGTGTGGCAGGGGTTTTTGTATTGTTTTATTTTAAGAACTTGCTGTAGCACTGGTCGCCAAAGAGCTGCCACAGAGACGTGAACAGATGTTGGGTGTATTTGCATCCTTAGCCATGCTAAATTAAGGTTGATCTTGAAAGAATTTAGTGGAGCTCATCAACAAAATCAAGTGAACACACACATGCAGAGTTTATCTTCAGAGTCTTCACATCTGTGCTTCATTCCTGCGTCCTGCATTTACAAGGTTAACAGGACTTGTGACTGCTTATGGAAATGCTAATTAATTACCCTGACTACGTAACCACATCTTCCTTCTAATGCAATACAGGCTATCAAGGAGCCCTGTGAGGCCACTCAATTCTTTTGTTACAAGGCTTCGCTGCAGATGTTGCCCAGAGGCAATGAAATCTCCATGAGCCTGTCAGGCCCTGAATAATCAAAGCCTCAAAATATAACATGCTGTGTTCAGCTCCAACTGAAATTTTCCTCCAGCAAGTTCCAAGGACTTTTAAAGACCAGACACTGGAACTTGTAGGAGACAGCCCAGTGATAGGAATAAAACGTGCTTTGCCAAGATTTTGATTCATCTGCTACCAGGATTAGTGCTTGCATGTATCCTCCTCACATCCAGAAGCTTTCTAAAGGGATAGAAAGCAGCTTTGTCTTGCTCCTTTCTTTCACTGGTCACCAGGTTACTTGCATGGGCAGTTTTACTGGCTAATCCCAAGCCTGCTTGGTTCACCACAATCATATGGAAAGCCTCTGCCAGTTATGCAGCTTGTAGTTTCTTCTTGCGGCTCTTCAGTGATCGCCTTACTACCCGAGATGATGTTCATGGTTCCACATTTCTGAATTTCAATGAATATTTTAGCTGAAGACAAAGGCCTCCCAAGATTTTGTTTTCTTCTTAACCATCCTCTAGCTCTCATTAGGATTTAAGGCCTGATCACAATTTCAGGTCTTTCTGCGTTCTCAAACTACTCCCAGAGGAAAAGAAATCTTCTGGCGTCTAATTCCTTACAGGTTAAATACGAAAAATATTTTCCTGGATACGCAGCTGAACTGAGCTTGCACTTCAAGAGAGCTATGGTCTGTGTCTGTCCCAGTAGAGCCCCAGGGCTTATGGTCTTGAGAACTAACACAGGTAAGGTTCAACAAGACACACGAGTAACTCAAACCTACAGACTGGAGCGTACAGTAATTAAAATATGTAACTAAACTTCAAATATACGCTTAACAAACTCATTCTCTCCTCTTCCCTTTCTCCAGAAAAAACAATACAGCATGGCTTTTTCCAAGCGACTAAGTAGAAAGACAATTTATACTGATCTAGAAGAAAACAGATGGGACTCACTCAGGGTAGCAAATAGTTACCTCCCACTGTTTAGCCTTATGAACTCCTAAGATCTACACCAGTATTAATCATACAAAAATAGGAGTGTATGCAGATTTCGATTATAACAACACTCTTGAGGACACAGTTTCAACTCTGTTAGTATGAGAATCTGCCAATTGTAACAGCAGTTTAACAATCCAGAAAATCAGATCTGTAACAGTGGGCCATAAACCTCTTAAAGCAGCAACGGTTTCCACAACAAGTAACACTCCCCCACACAACAACATCTCTGTCTACAGGTGGTTTCTAACACTTGGTGAGTGACTGAAGTCAAGACCAGGAACTGACTGGCTACGTCACATGTGTTTGATGCCTTTGCTGTATAAAAAGCAGAGAGGTATTTGCTGTATATCTAGGTTGTATCGCTTACAAAAACAACATCCACCCTTTTGGGCTAGAGGAAAATGGACTACTAAATCTTTTTCTACCACATATTATGAAGATCCTGTTCAGTATTTTCAGTGGTACCTAAAAATTCTTTTAATTCACGCTGAACAGGAGGTACCCACAGAAATGGAGCAACACCTCAGAAGGAAAAGGGGATACAATGCTACGCTATCTCTAGATCCCTCGGTGCTGGAGTTACCAAAGGAAATTGGGTCAGTATTATTGGAAATTCTCAACATCTCTCCTCAGGAGGGAGAACTGCCAGATTTTCTTAAGAAAGTGTCAGTATTGCCTACATTCAGGAAGCTTCTTTCTGACACTGACCATCTGGTAAATTATCATCCTGCATCGAGCTTTCCTTCAGCGTTTAAGAAAATGGAAAAGTTTCAGAGAGACGATTCCTCTTCTAGTAACATGTTGCCTCAGATTTCCTTGTGTTTTGTCAATCTGGGTCACGTCAATCTGTGGCTTTAACAGTCTATACTGAAACATGTTTGCATTGCTCAACCTTCGCATGAAGCTTAAGAGACTTGGCTCTACTTAGAGCTTATAAGCATACTAGTCATCTGGTTGACCAGTACCAGCTGTGAGGTGCTGACTTACCTGCGGAGGGAGCTGCTCTGCCCACACCCTCACGAGGCATTTCGGGGGATTACTTCCCTTCCTTTAGATGCACTTGGGTTTTCATCACGAGCCGCCTTCTCTTCCCTTTGTTAGCTGCTTTTAATATACTTAATACTTGATGTGGATGTGCAGGCTGCAGTGCCTGCAAGTTGTTTTTCCCTCTCTTCCAACTCCATTGGTTTGGGCATCTTCCTGATGAAAGCAGCTGGGACTAAAGCTTGTTATGACAGTATTTTTGAAAAGAGAGAGAAGGGATTTGGTACACTGGAGACAGCAACTTGAAAGGAAGGATTTTCTTCTACTTACTACTTACATTGTTGCTTCCAGAAGAAGGCAGAGTTTGCTACAGCACTTGCTTTTATTCCTATGAATCTTAGCTTTAAAACTGACAGCAGGCACAGTTAAAGTCTTGGACAAGCCCTTTACTTACCCTTGCACAACCCAAGAGAGGTAGAGAGGTAAATAGTCTTTTGGGAACCATCTGAGAATGGATGACATTCTTGTTTAGGGCAGTTCTCCCTCTTGGTGATAGTCTGTTATTATCAGTATCTCCCTATG